AGCTTATAGAATCTACGGTTATTATGTCTATTATTAACTGTAGAGGTCATGATGAATTGTGCTAGAATCTAATAATGGACTAACTATTATATAATCAGTCAAGTTATTTAGGACTGTTTAGGAGTTTTAACTTAAAACTTTAAAATTACTAATTTACTGTTTATGATGAGATTTTAACAGGGAATATATTATTCTAAAATAGTCACAATAAAAATATAACAAATAACTATAAAATCAAATTAGTATTGAAAATGTAAGGCACTATGTATTTTACCATTTTTCTAGATTATTATAGTTTTACTCTATTTTTGTATGCCCATTATTATTTAATCATGTAAAATTTTCAAATTGCAAACTGCACTATTTAAAACAAATGTTTATTCATATAATGTCAGAAATTTAGCAGATATTTGTAAATTAAAATCAATCTAGATTTGAATAGATAAGTAATTGAATTGTGATATTAATTGAAATGACCTATTTCGAATGTAGCTCTTAATGAAAATTACTTGTTGTGTATTATATGGCTTAAAATTCTCCACGGTTTCAGTTTGGCTCAACTTAAAGGAGATTATACAGCTACGAGTATACATCTTGAATGTATATGACCTATTTAAAAGAACTACATCAAAGCGATATTCGACGCAAGTTAATTTATAGGCTGTAAGACCGTTTCTGGATTTACCATATACTGTCGGCCAATAAGACTATTGCGCAGTGGTGATCTCAGACAAACCTACCCATCGAGTCAGTGTAACTATTTAATCATAAAATCCCTACAGTTCCTTGCCAGTATTTCACACAAAGACAAGCTCTTTAGATTAATTCATTTCAGTCGAGCTCAATCCAAAGATTTACATTTCACGCTTGTTGAAAATGATAAAGGTACCTATTCCACATTTCATCTCAAGATCATCTCCATCTCAAGATCATGAATATAGAAATAATTATAAATAGTCTAAATAGAAGTTTTGCAATAATACGAAATAAGACGAATAATATTATATTTTTGATAATGTTTTTTTAACTGTAGTGAAATCAAAAATCTGAATAGTATCTACCTACTTACTGTTAATGATAGTAAATATGTTTTATTTTTTTACAACTCTTGGTGAGTAAATCTAGGTTTTGGTTCGTAATTTAACTATTTACGAAACTACGAAGGGTCTAAAATCATATTAAATTAGTTTAAAATTTTCAATAAAACGATTTGTATTAATTATTTTCATCAGTATTATTTTGTAACACGTACAGTGTTAACCGGAAATGGCTTTAAAATACTAAAATCGTGCTGATATTTTTAAAGATAAGTAAGATCTGATTGGGGAAAAGAAGGCTTACTTTCACTGTTTATTAAACTAACCCATTCACTTATAATAATTGTTTGGGTTTAAAAAAAAATCTCTAAAATAAATAAATGATAAAAAAAACCAAGATGGAAATCCATCACATTAGACTAAGTCATGAATTTTCGAGATTATTCGTTTTTACACTCCCAACCTCATTTGTTTCTTATTTTAATTTAATTTGTATGGTTATTAAACAATGTTTAGTTTACACAACTTCAAACATCATAGAATGTGGAAACATTAAGACCACAATTTCGTTGAACAAATTTGACAATTAATACGAACCAAATCTGTTTCCAACGTTTGCTTTTCACTTGATCGGTTTTACTTGTTATTATTTGTTTTGGTTTCATACAATTTAAAAAAATACCGTTTACAATACAATTATATATAGTTAGTATGCATGTTATGTCAATAGAACAATATAAATATTATAGAATAATAAATATCTAATTGTAATAACATAATATAGATTAGAATTAAAAATGTAGTTACTTTAACGTGAGTGTTTAAGGTGTTTTAATTAAATATAGCATTATATATATTTTTTTAAATTAGAATTTTATAAAAACAAAATATTAAAATATTTTCATTTTTAATAAACTATAACATTATTATATCAATGAATAATCCTTATTTACTGGTTAAACTGTGATTTGTAAATTAAATTAAGTATTTCGTGCAGTAGAAAATATAGTACAGAAAAATAGAGTTTATAAAATTGAAAATTTTAGGATTACTTAATGTATATTATTACTCCAAAAAAAAACTTGTCATGGTACTAAATACATTGATTATGGAAGAATATTATGTTCGCTAAGGAATACTATTTAAAAATATAAAGACAATGCAACTTGTATTATATAAATTGTTCTCATTAATAGAATATATGTTTAGTTAACTAATTATAATATATTAAATATAAATATCCATTATAAAGACATTGGGGTATTTTATAGAATAGCACCACAATATAAAAAAAATACTGTTTTACGATGAGAAAAAAAAGTCTTGAAATTGATTTAATTTTAATTTTTTAGATTAAAAAAAAGTCAAATTACCACAGTATTTTGAAGGTTGATAATATTATTATATTTATTAATAAGGTTATTGACTTTTATAATTATCTTTTATAGTAATAAAAAATAAAATAAATTCCTTTTTTCAAATCATCCAAGTGTAAGGTTTCTGTTATGATTCATTTTAACATGACATGGATAACCTTTTTGGTATTTTTTTTTTCAATCGACCGTAATTATTCGATGAGGAAATTGAAAAATAATTATTTATGATGTTCAATATTTATTAGCATATAAATAAAAGTTTCAATCGAAATTTAAGAGGAAAATGTCGGGTAAAATATGATTCAGGCTAATTAGGTAGTCATCAATCGTCAATGATCGTCGAAAAAATTTCGAAAAATGCTAGGTATTTAAAATGTTTTTCCACGAATAGTTAAAACTTAAAACAAACATTAATCAACCAATGTAACACTCATTTATCCTACAGAGTTTTGTGGTACAAAGTTTAAGTGTCGGCTGATTTGCGATGTTTTTACCATGGATGAATGCATTTTAATGGACAATATTTTCAACTTATAGCGTTGAAACTTTTCTCAATATTTCTACTTTAAAAATTCCAAAAAGAAATATGTGGATTTGGTTTGCATAATTTTGAACTCGTTTGTTGTCTATTAAGTATCAAAATTATTATTTATTTTTATTGTTACAACTTAATGATTTGTTGTGAATGAAATTATGTTTATAAAGTACGCTTAAAAACAATGATCACTGAAAACAATAATATAAATATATACCTACGTAATCAAGATTATTTTAATTCAATTTGTGTTGTAAAATATTAAATACATATTAAGAGGATGCATAGTGCATAGCATATTTTCGTATATTTATCAGAACCAATTTTGTGAGGTTATAGCTTTACTACGAGAGCGAATAGACATTATACCTATTAATCAACTTAATGGTAAGAATACTATTATTGTTTATAGGTACGTTGGTTTTATTACATTATTCAAATTGTTATGCGAGTTATTATTATCACTATTTATATAAATTACTGCAGCAAAATATTGTACAGTATAATATTGATTACAGATCTATAAAATAATAAATTACAAAAATAAGCATAACTATTTTTTTTTTAGAGGTTAGAGGGAACATAAACTCAAAAATATAGATGTGAGTGCTTATTGCCCAGGTGCATAATTCTGTCTATAGGAAATTCTCATAACTTGCTTAAAAATTTCAAATTCAAAAATAACAACTAACAAACAATTTAACTGTTACGTTAATATGTTATTCTTACTACCTTAACTTTTATGTCAATACTATTGGTCAAGACTGTCAAGTCATTATGTGATTGCAAAGAGTATACTATAGACCTCTACACAAGGGTGGATCCAGATACATGGTTAGGGGGGGGGGTTTGGAAGGTCATAACTTTCAGAAAATTTCTATGATTTTTTTTGTAATTTTGTTTTTAACAATATAAAAATGTTTAGAAATACAGCTTGAAGGGGGGCGACCCCTAGGGCCCCCTCCCTGGAGCCGGTCCTGCCTCTACAATAGATATCTGCCATAGTCAACTAGTGCAATTTTATAACACTTACCTATATCGATTGCGTGTTTAATTATACATTAGATATTTCACTATTTGTAGCTGTGATAATAAAACAATTACATTCTATGATACTATGTATTGATATCATAATATAGTATAATGATTGAGTACGATAATATTATTGTTCTTAATAATTGACTGTAAATTCACTTCATTTCTTTAAAATTAAATTATCTATTTTAAGACGGTGAGTGTTTTCTCGTGAAATACTTAACTAAATAAAAGGCGCGTCGATGAACAATAATAATATACTCTTATAAATAAACATTATCGTATTATTATCATTTATCGTCTCATACACGTTTAGGTACCATGAAAAGTAGTAAAATAGAAATTGTCGTCGTACGCCGATTCCGTAATCTATCGCGACACGCGAGCCAACGGGCACGGTCGTTTGATGCAGCGTATTACTGACTTGTAATCTTAACATCGATATTTTTCGAACAAATAGCACACGCGTGACAAAAAATCCTATCGTCACAATCACAATCGTCTCCTGGGCACACCAAAGATAGCTTGTAAATTGTCTTAGCCCTTAGGATATCATTTCCGAAAAGTCGGAACGACCTGCACCGGGGGTGGCTGACTCGAACAATATGATCGTTGTTAATAACACGCGTAATCGAGTATTGAATCATATTATTATACTAGTGATTTTTTTATCAAAAAACATTCATTATTTTAAAAATTATCAAATTCTGAAAATATTTATTTTAAATTTTTGTAAGTTATTATAGTCGCGCCATGCCAGCCGTCCGAGTAGCATCGCTATTTCGTCGCTCCGCGTACTTTATCTTATTCCGCACGTTTAACTCAGTCGTTTTTCTTCGTTTAAAACCGAAAATCGTCCCAAACTAAACACGCTTTCTTGCGTCTGTTTATTTCTTCTGTCGGACCAGAGGACCAACGAAAATCTCAATTCTGGTGACAAATTTAATTATATCTAATTCGGGTGGCAGTGCGCCGTACGTCCGCCCGCCCGTTATCTAAGCGGCCTTATCGGCGCAATTAAATTACAGACCGCAGGTCGTTATCTACACCGGCGTCGAATATGCCGACGCAACCAAAGTCCACGTCCTCTAATAAAAACAACAGCTCATTACGTACACCCGTCCAGAACAATATTATATCACGGCCGACAACTTTGAAGGCAGCAAAATCTAATAATAAACTACTAGATAAACCAGCTCTATGCATTCTTAAATCTAACGAAGGTGACAAAGTTGGTGCCACCCCGTGGAAAACCAAACAAAGCAAGCGCCTATCTTCGCCTGGCCATTCGCCTACATCCAAAGAGCCAAAAATTTCAAATGACACTAATTCTGCCTTTACCACGCCAAACCGCTTTGAGCCACTAAATGAGACGGAAATTGATGACAACACCGAAATGATCCACGAGCCTACAAACGATATACCTCCTCCTCCACCACCAATATTCATATCCTCACCACTGGAATTCAATGAGTTCGCAAAATCAATCGCTCTACTTGTTGGCGAAAATGAATTCGAATTCAAATCTACTACAAAACATTTAAAACTTACACTTACCTCAATCAGCTCCTACCGTCAAATAATCCACTTACTAAATGAAAGTAAAATTGAATACTTTACCTACCAAGCTAAAGAAGACAAACCATACCGTGTCGCTATCAGAAACCTTCATCCAACAACCGATACAAACTTCATCAAAGATGAACTGTCTCAATTCGGATTTTCGGTAAGAAACATCACAAATATTAAGTCCAAAATAACCAAGACCGCCCTCCCCATATTTTTTGTTGATTTGAACCCAGACCCTAGTAATGTAAATATATTTAACCTGTCTTCACTATGCTACACCAAAATAAAAATCGAGGAGCCCCACTCTCGCAGGGACCTACCTCAATGCCACAGGTGCCAGGCCTATGGTCACACCAAGACCTACTGCAATCGAGAGCCTAGATGCGTCCGCTGCGGTGCTTGCCACCTCTCGGACCTTTGCGAAAAACCCAAACATACTCCAGCAACTTGCGCACTTTGTGGGGAAGCTCATCCTGCTAACTACAAAGGATGCACCAAACACAAACTGCTACAAAGATCAAGAAATTCCAAATTCAATGACCTCAACCAAAGGAAGGACCACCATCACTCAAGAAATCCCACACAAGATAGAAACTCTCCTGACGTCACGGCCCATACTTCTCTAGACAATGTAAACCAGACCCCAACCAGTCCTACCATCCGACAGTTCTCGTACGCCGACTCAGTCAAAGGTAACTCAAAAAAAAAAATCACTTCTCAGACCACAATCCACCTCCCGAAACGTCCATCTCCAAACATTTATCATCATTTATCAATGAGCTCCAGTCACTCATAACCCCTCTTTTAACTCTCCTTACCTCACTCATTAATAAACTTATCACTAATAATGATACCCAATACTAGCCTTTGTCCCGCCCTGTCAATACTATCATGGAATGCAAACGGACTGCATAATCATAAAAACGAATTTCAATTAACACTTGAGGAAAAAAATATAGACGTCGCGTTAATTTCCGAGACCCACTTCACTCCAAAATCTTTTGTAATAATACCTGGTTACCAAGTTTACCACGCTTGCCACCCTGACGGTACAGCTCATGCTGGATCCGCCATTTATATAAAAAACAACTTATCCCATCACCCACTAACCCCCCACTCTGAAAACTATCTTCAAGCCACTAATATATCAATCAACCTTGAAAACCATAACTCAATTACTATATCTTCCATATACTGTCCCCCTGGTGCAAAAAAAACTACTGAACATTTTACAAACTACTTTTCCAGCCTAGGGCAACAATTTATAGCAGGAGGTGATCTCAACTCTAAACACCCCACCTGGGGAAATAGATCAGCTTGTACAAGAGGTCGAACACTCAATTATGTCTTAACTTCAAAAAATTACTCAGTTCTATCCCCCCCTGGTCCTACTTACTGGCCTTCTCATAGGAATAGACTACCCGATATCCTCGACATATTCATCGCAAAAATCCCAATCCACCTAAATACAAATGTAACAAACCTAGACGATCTCTCATCTGATCACACCCCGATTTTTATGGAGCTCGGCGCCATGCCTATTAAATTAACTAGATCATCTCTCACCCCTGGCAGATCAAATTGGACTAAATTTAGAAACATAGTCTCTGACAAAATTAGTCTTAAACTCTCCTTAAAAACTACTCTTGAAATAGACCAAGCCGTTCAATTTTTAACCACCACAATCCAAGATGCTGCCTTGGCCTCCTCAGAGACAACCTTCCATCCCATAAAAAACTCAAAAATTCCTCCTCACATCCAAAGTTTAATAGCCGAAAAGCGTAGAGCTAGAGCTCAATGGCAAAGATTCAAATACCCCATAGACAAAGCCAGACTTAATTACTTAAAAAACAAGCTAACCAGAGCTTTCCAAAATCACAAAAATGAAAGTTATCATTCCTACATTCAAAACCTCTCAACCAAAGATTCGTCACTGTGGAAGGCTACAAAAAAATTATTAAACCACAAGCAGCCACCTCCCCCAATTCGCAATTCCGACAATACATGGGCCACCTCAGACACCGAAAAAGCAAACGTTTTTGCATCCCACCTCGCTTATGTTTTCAAGCCACATGACATTTGTCCAAACCAAACTCAACTCACACGTATTGAGCAATCACTAAATTCCCCCCTTCCTATGGCTCTCCCTGCTAAGCACACTAGCCCTGGCGAAATTATGCACATTATAAAAAATCTTCCATCTAGAAAAGCCCCAGGCCACGACTTGATCAGTAATTTCATAGTCAAAAATCTCCCTAATAAAGCTGTCCTCTTTCTCACCCTCATATTCAACTCATTACTTCGCCTATCTTACTTCCCCAGTATCTGGAAACATTCAAATATAATTCTTATCTCTAAGCCCGACAAGCCACCGCAACTTCCCACCTCTTATAGACCAATAAGCCTCCTTCCCACTTTCTCAAAAATGTTTGAAAAAATACTTCTGAAAAGACTTCTCCCACTGTCAGACAAAGCTAACATCATTCCACATCACCAATTTGGGTTCAGGGCTAAACACTCAACCACCCACCAACTCCTTCGTACTGTCGACTTAATATCTACTAGTATGGAATCCAAGCACTACTGTGCTGCCGTCCTGCTAGACGTGGCCCAAGCCTTCGACAGAGTGTGGCATGATGGCCTACTCTATAAACTTAAAAAATTTCTCACTGCTCCATATTACCTTATTATCAAGTCTTATCTTGAAAATCGAACCTTCTCAGTTAGAGTGAACAACAGCTACTCGGTTAACTTTCCTATCTTGGCTGGCGTCCCCCAAGGAAGCGATATAGCGCCTTTCCTTTACACCATATTTACACATGACACTCCGAAAACTTTACTTACATCATTAGGCACATACGCCGACGATACAATAATCCTGGCCTCAAATGACAACCCTCAAACTGTGTCTGATAGGTTACAAAATCATCTAAACATGATCCAGATCTGGTCAAAAAAATGGAAAATAAAAATAAATGACTCCAAATCCTCCTTTATTACCTTTTCACTAAGACCTGGAGACTGCCCTCCAGTTTCATTCAATAATAACTTAATTCCATCAACCCCTGTAGTCAAATACCTGGGCCTAACGTTTGATAAACGACTCACCTGGGCTCAACACCTCAAAAACAAAAGGAAATCTGTAAACTCTAGACTTCACTTGCTCCGTCCACTTCTCCGCTCCAAACTAAACATCAGCAATAAATTGTTAATCTACAAAGCTATTTTAAGACCTGTATGGGCATACGGTATCCAGATATGGGGCTCCGCGAAACCCTCAAACCTACGAACTATACAAGCCTTCCAATCAATATGTCTCCGTCAAATCGCTTCTGCCCCTTGGTATATAAAAAACGCCAATCTTCACAAAGACTTAAACGTTCCCACACTTTCTCAGCTAACCTCCACTTTCCTTCCCTTCTGAAACTATAATCCATTATTCACGTCTGTTCTTTTACAATCCGTCCTAGAAGCATTGAAACGATCTTGGCCTAGAGCTTTCCTTGTGATCTGTTTTACTTTTGATTCTTCTGTAATCAACTTTTGTCAATATACTATGTACATGTTGTATAGAGTAATTATCTTTAATAAAATAAAAAAAAAAAAAAAAAAAAAAAAGTAAGTTATTATAAAATATTTGAAACAAACAAAAATTTACAATATTTTATCGTTATCATGTTTAAGTTTTTAGTCTTCTGAATGCCTATACATACATTTTTATTTTTTATTCCAAAGCAGAATAACTTTTGTAGTGCTTTGATGCATAACAATCGGATTTTGGACAAATACTTTATGAGTAATAAGTATTTATATTAAAGTTTAGTCGAGTGAAGTTGAGTAACACAGGGGTACCCTTCCAAAATGTGGGTCCATTACATCGCTCACAAAGCTTAAAATTATTATAACTAATTAACGAAATTGTATTCTATTGAAATACTGAAGAACATAATATTCTGCTTAGGAAAATGAAACTAAAAATGTATGTGGCCATTGAAACAAGTAAAACGTTAACTATACGATTACAATGGAAAATTGTAAAAATAAAATGTTTACTGATGAATTATCATTTATCATGTAGGTATAGGCTTAGGCTTGGGTACATAATATGTGTGCAAAAATAATAATATAATATTATCGTACTCGAAGGTGATGGGCGAGTTGTGAAAAATTGACGGACCAGGTCTACAGTGAAAGTATTATAATATTATTATACACTTAGGGGACTGAAAGCGCAACAAGTACCTACCTAAGCTCTCGTACATCTAAATAATTTTTATTATTATTATTATTATTATTATTATTACTCTCCGTCGTCGTCGGGTCGTCGGGGTTGTCTCGGCGATGAGGTGGTGTGCGGGGTAAGCGGCTATACCTACTGTGTAATAATAATATTGTGTATATGAGGTATATAATATATATATAGCCATATAGGTATATAATATTATAAACATATATGGAACAGCTGTGGAAAACACACATACTGACGCGTGCGTCGTAAAGTGTAAGTTTCTTGTATATAATATGATTTATTCACGTCTCGGAGAGTGTAACAAACGATGTCGTGTGTTGTTCGTTTCTCGGTGTAATATTCGTTTTGTAAAATCGTAACACGCGCGCGCACAGCCCGCTAGCCGCCATGGAAACGGCTGTCGGAAATAACACGCGAGCTATGTGTGTTGTTCGGCCGTCGTGCCGTTCTCGCCCACCACCTCCGCCTTGTACGTTATAATAATATATTATATTATAATAATATTATTGTGATGTATAAACACGCCTCGTTGGTGCGGCGGCGCTAGGATGACGGTGAAAAATGCATTGCCTCTCGTCCCGCTCTTTTTTTTTCTTCTTCTTTCACTTACGCGACTACGCACACTTTTGGC